ATCACTGCCAATTAAACAGAGGTACGATGATAATCAAATGTTTAGCACAGCTTACCAGGTACTTTGGAGCGCTCAAACTGAATATGCTAATATCCACGTCAGAACATGAAATCCTTACCAAAAAAATGACAAAGAGATCCAAACTTTTCCTAATTCCAATCGGTCACAATTGTCAAGGACAAGAGTAGGGTGGAATGGGAGAAATATATTGCTCTGGCATGTTTACCCGCGCCATCCCAAAATAACAGATCTGTCGTGTCGGGAAAAGGGGGGCTTTTAAGTGTGGATGCGCCTCGCTCTCCTATAATCCAGCCGAGACATTACTCCTTCCCCTGGCAGCCGTCCGCAGATCCCCCCCTGTCTCCCAGCCAGGCCTCGCTCTCTGCTGCTATGGCAGAGCTGCAATAACTGCTGTTTGCTCAGAGCCTTGCCTCCCAGGTTCTCCTCTGTCACACAGAAATTGAATATTTTCCCAAATAGTCTTGCAGCTGTGCACAGATAAGGACAAGTCCTGTTCACATGGCACAAAGAATGAGACGAGGATGCCGTGTGTGTGTGTGTGTGTGTGTGTGTGTGTGTGTGTGTGTGTGTGTGTGTGTGTGTGTGGGTGGGTGTGGGTGGGTGTGTGTGTGCGTTTTAGGAAAGAGCAATCGTATCAGTTATCGTTATCAGAAAGGAAAAAAAAGAATATTGTGATTAAAATTGGAATTTATCGTACCATTATTAACCTCTTATCTGCAAACCCCCAAAACTATTTGGAGTACAGTTGTTACCTTTACATTTTAAACTACATTTTCCACTGTTGAATATATTAAGGGATCAATATCTATCCATATACTTGAAAACCTGATCAAAGGCAATTACTTGGTCATATTTAGCTGCACAAATTGCACTTCTTAAAGAGGCTTGTACACAATATGTGTATTGCTGCATCTGTTATGGGTAAGTGGGTAAACTTCATATTTGAAGCAGCATTTGTGGGGATCAACATATATGCAGTAGCAAATGTATAGTTAAAAAAAGGCAGTGATAATAAAAAAATATATATATCCTATTTCTTTAAACAATTACTAAAATAAAAAGAAGATGATATTGTAAAAAAACACCATTTCAGGTCAGTATTGCCTGCATTTAATGTGTGTTTATTATTTTAATTTTGTCTATGAATTATGTGGAAAAAAAGTGATTTTGAAAATTATAATTTTTTGTCAAAAACATGCAATTCCATATTTATTTCACTTTTTTCCAATATTTGAAACATTTCAAAACTACATTTTGAAGCAACGTTATAAATTAAAAGAAATATTAGAAATAAAAATAATTCAACTAAACATAAAATACACAGTGATAATACCTCTCTCCACAACCGCTGCACATATAAAACCAGGCCAAAACGTTATGAGAATTTAAGAGTTTTAACAGTCAATTTCCTTTATTCCATGTGCTTTTGAGAGAGGCAAAAAAATGAGTGAAGCATTGCGAAAGGCATGCCAGATAAACTCAGGGAGGCTGCCACTTAACCAGCGTTCAGGAACTCGACATGCGAGCCATCCACTAAGAGCCGTGTTGTTTCTTGTCACCAGAGTTTGAATTGAGCCTCACTTTCAGCCCCTGTGTCCTAGCAGAATAATGTTCTGCTGGGAAATTATTTAGGCAAGCAGAAAGTTTCACCTGCCATTTCAGAGGGCACTGAGCCACCCCCCTCCTCCCCGGCCCTCCTTTGCTGCACCAGAGGCCTTTAGCAAGTGGAAACAAATGTTTCACAAAATGGTAGGGAGGGGAGCACGGTGGCGCACGGCATTTTTACTGATTGCCAATCGTAAAATAAAAGCAGTCATGAAAAGGGGCGAAGTTCTGGCCCACCAAAGGCCTGCACGTTACGTCAAATTTGCTATAGCTTTCCTTTTACAGCCTTGTTTATTCCCTTTAATAGTGAGCAGTTATCCGCACAGTATGGCTCCACGTAGGTGGTTTAGCAACAGAAAAGATTGCATCTGAAAACACAAACCCACAATTTACACGCCAAATAAGCAATGGGATGTAAATCTAAACACTCTTAACTCCCTGCAATCGTCTCTCCTTTTTTCTTTGTTTTTTTGTTTTGGTTTTTTTCTGCTGACGCTTTCGCAGCATCCATCATTTCCTTGATACTCCACGGAGCGACTAACACATCATTTGGGCAGATTGCAACTCCAAACTGGTTTCTTTCACACTGTCTGCTAACAAAGGCTTGTGATGCTCGTGAAGGACAAAAAGGATGAGCTAGAATTTAGTCTTATTCGACGTGGATGAAAGCAAGGCAGCACTACACTGTGAATTTGCAAGGATAAAAAAAAAAAAAAGAATCTATTCAATCACATCTCAACCTTTAAAATCGGTCATACTGGTTCATCAATTGCTGCTCGGAGTAGACAGCAAGCTCCAATGAACGCTTCTGAGAGGCTCATGAAAAGAAATAAGGCATATCTTGTTTGTTTTTGCTAATGTTATATTTGACCAGTAACAAATTGGTCCGAAAAGATAAGATTGGACTTGAATGGCTTAGAGAAGATAGGACTGCAGCATTCCGATCAGTTTCAAGCAAGTCAGCTATCGACGGATAGTGACCCAGCTGCTGATCCGAAGGTAGAAATATCCAAGCAGAGACTAAGAGCGAACATCTCTGCAAGTCACAAAATCTTGAAGCATTCACCCGTTCACTCTCGCATTCAGTGTCGCATTCGGTGACAACGCGGGCTTTAAAGTTGGGAACGGAGCAGTATACATCACTGTCGTTCTCCGACCTATATAGACATGTTCCTGTGCCGTATCGATTCACTAGCAGAAGTGAACGCAGCAGCTCGCCGAGGCTATCTGGTGCTCTGGCAGATCGAGAGCTGCTGCAGTTCCATGAAACCGGACTCACTCTCACTGCTGAGACGAGCCTGCTGTGGACTGAAGAAAAAAAAAAAAAAGGTACTCTCATGTGGTAAAGCATTCATAATGGCATGCCCGAATTGAAGATATCAAGCAACAAGACACAAGAGAAGACAGTCGCCCCCCCCTATCCCCCACCCCCTTTCTCAAACACAACTAGATTACATTATTTCCATTGGGTGAAAGAGCGGTTGGTAAGATGCTGATATATGAATATGAAGTTTAATGCGTCTTCATTATTTTTTTTTTCCAAATGCATGATTCAGAAGGGCTTTTTTTTTTTCTGTCGGCAAAACATACTATTTATGAGAGTGCAACATCTTATGATTAGACTTGCAAGCTACATATCACATTGATCTGCTTGAAATGTGGGGGGAGGAAGCAAGTTTTCCACTTTCTCTCGCTCACACACTCTCTTGCTGAAGCCTCTTAGGGTCAACCAAAACCAGTGGCAGAAAATAAGACTCCTTTCATTCTGAAAAGGCTCTTACTACTTTGATATGGAAATACGCTCCTGCCTTACTGCTGGAATTTGCGTTTTTGCCTTCATTTAGATTTTTCTTTTTTTTTTTTTTTTTCAAAGTAAAAACACATAAAAACTAAGTCCACCTATTAAAAGCTTGAATGAGCAGTGAAGCTTCTGTACCTCGATTAAAAAAAGAATATATATCTTCCAAACCAAGACAAACAAACATCCCTTTTGTGTGTCACTGAACAATCACATTGTTATGTATTATGTGTGTGGGGGGGAAGATAAAGCCACTTCATCCTCAAAACACCTGCTTTATTCTTCTTTTTTTTTTTTTTGCCTTCTGAGGACTTAGAAATTGTTAAGCAGCAAAGCCTATTTAGTTAGTCGTGTTTAAATGGGGGGCGGGGGGAACAGAGGAAAGTTCCACTTTACTTTACGGTAGCATCATATTCCACTAATGAGCACTTAATAAAATGCTGCTTATTTCAGACAGACATTCAAGGAACTTACAACCAGGCAGAATTTCTCTTTTCAGATCAGTTCTTCAGGGAGAGAAGGGGGAGGGTGCTATATGAAGACCGGAGCTAAATTTACCCCCAATTCACAGATCGATCACTACAGATTGCTGCTCTGCTCCAGGCTACCATGCATCACCACCACCGGCTGGCCGCTGTGTGCTCCTGTCCTCAGCCGAAGGAGAAGGCGCTCAGTGCGCCGCATGTGTGCTCCCGGCTCCCTGCTCTTAACACATGGTTGACAAGACACGTTCGGAATCGGTAGGCCTAAATAATACATGTGCAGTAAATGGATCTAATTTTACTGCCACTCTGGGTACGAAACTGCCTAAAACTTCCCCCATTCTCTCTCTCATTTACGTTTTCACTTCTATTCGTCCGCCTTTTCAGTTTTCCCCAATTCACAATTTACACGTCACTTTGCACGTTTTTTTTTTTTTTTTTTTTTTTTTTTTGCCCCCAGACGAATCCCAGACTATAGCAATCGTTGTCCAAAACTAATTACTACACAAGTTACGGGGGCTCGCATAATTCTTTTCTTTGATATCCTTTTCGAACAAACAGCCTAACCCCAATTATAATGGATTAGCCCTTGAACGCTCTCAAGACTCAAGCCAACATCGTGTCACAGCTCACACAGTTTCCCAGCACTCATTCAAAACAACAAGACCACCAGTGGATTTTAAAAGGAATATTTACACCAAAGTCCACTGAAACTTTGGCGGCAACAAATGCCAGTTAAATCGCGCTTTTCGCGATCTGGTTCACCTAAAATGCGCCCCAACCCACTTTCCATTCAGCCAAACAAATCAATCCACATCTGGTTACGTTTTGATTAACTTTGTTTCAATTATCCACGGCACCCGTCGAACGATTTAAATCACAACTAGTGATTTTTCCTCCCTTTCTGAGGCCCACTAATTTATAAAACTTTATCTCTGGATGTGTGCTAGTTATTTTTATACCCATTACATAAAAATATTAATGTTATCAATGTCCAAACAGCATAACGATAATAAAAGTAGAAGCGAAATACAAAACAATAAAGTTACATTTTACAAGATTTAAAAACAAAGTAATACTAGTGGATTTCTTACCTTTTTTTTTTTTTTTTTTTTTTGGAAAAGCAGTGGAGCCGCCAAAAATGGCAAAGCAAAAAGTCAGTTCGGGAAGAAACGAAATGTGATTTGTGGATAAAAACGTCAGATTGTGAAAAGACAGTCTGGTGGGGACTCCTCTGCATCGAAGAGAGTTGGTCTGCAGGTCTGAGGCATGCTTCCCCCTCTTAATCTGGGACAGAGCGGCTGGTTATCAGGCGAAGAGTCCCCCTCTCAGCCCGCACACATCCCCCTGCGCCGGACACGCACTTCCATGGCATGCAAGGTGTTGCTCTGCGCTCAGTCCTAACTCATCAACACCTCACACCACCTTTTTAAGCGGCTCATCAAGTCACGGCGCTCCGCTGCGCACTCACTCCCGATGCAGCAGAAACAAACGAGAAGAGTAGAGAAGCGAGGGTGGGGGGAAAAAAATTAAAAAGCAAAAGGAGAAAAGAAAAAAAAAAAAAAAAACACTGGGTGACAAGAGTGACAACACGGAGTGAGGGCTTTTTCAGTGTCTGATGACGGGGAGAGGTAAAGCAAAGCGTACTTATAGCCACCGATGCTGTTCTCTTGGCTCCCCTGAATCAGACTGTGGAGACTGGGCAAGTTTCAGCGGCTCGCCTCTGGAAGAGATCCCGCTCACAGTGTTGAGACACTTGGAGGAAGCAGCGCGGAGCGGGCTTCCAGCACACAGCGCCAGTGCAGTGGAAAGCAGTCGTCTGCGGGAGCCGTCTGAGCCGGAGGGATTCCTGAAAACCTGACATGGATTCTTAATCCACAATGACTCGGAGTCCAGTGCTTTTCCTATCAACTGATACTGCCTGTATGCGTGCGTGCGTGCGATGTATGATTATACGAACAAATATAAATGTATCTATATTTATATACATAGAAAATATATAAATGTATCTATATTTATATGCATAGAAAATATATAAATGTATATATATTTAGATATGTAGTGAAGGTTCATTTTTAAATAAAAACAATTTTTTCATTTGCAAGAAACAGAAGACAACTATGCATATCTCTTTAGTGTTTGCTTTATGTTTCATAACTGGGAATTTCACTTGTGCACAGAACCTATACAAATAAAAAGATTCTGCCAATACACAAGGTTCCAGTTGTAGTAAGACTCAAATCTGGAAATGACCTCACTTCCAAGCAAACCGTGTTCCAGCTGCAAGTTCGGAAACCTGTAGAATTTACTGACAGTTGTAATGCTAACTATTATTATCAATAGGAGACAATAAAATTAGACTTCTCTCTATTGTACACAAGAGGGGATTTGTTCACAACTGGGTATTTTACAGTAGGATGTGTGCTACAAGTTTAATGATGCAAACCATTAGAAATTCATAGTTTAAAACTGAAATACATCTGCAGCCTCAGCAGGCTCAACTTCCCGCATCTGATTTGAATTTCAAACACAGAAAATACAACATTATGTAAAATGTCAACTAGTTCATCTATCCATCCATTCTAGTTAAATTAAATATTATATTTAATTGCATATATATATATATATATATATATATATATATATATATATATATATATATATATTCAGAAAGTGTCAATTTACTTTTTTTTTAGATTTGTTTCAGAAGTCAAAAGTTCTTGGGGGCCCTCTGCTGGTCTCGTTGCCCTAAGGAGTGACTGAGTTTGCTTATGTCTTGGTCTGGCTCTGCCTTAAAGAAACCAGCTTTAAAATTTCCACCATAAAGATTGGAATGATGTTATCAATGCATCTATCCACCTTCTTTTTGGCCCCACATCTGCTCTGAGATGCAACACTGTCCTCCTTTTAGGTACGAGAGGCCTACGTTCTGTTCGGCAGCACAGCTTATTCATCCAATGACAGAGAACTCATTCTACTGTAATACTACCAAGCTTCAAAAGAAGCACAGAAGCACAGACCAGCAAGATCTTTTTTTTTTTAACTCCCCCTTCCCTCATCCTCCCATCTTTCAAACTAGCCCCCTCTCCAGGGTAACACACTGGCCTGATCTCAAGAGGTCAAGCTGCTGTTGGTATGCGGAGACAAGCAGATTTTTAAATCTTGAAGTCTTCTGAGTTGGAAATATTTTTTCCCCTCCATTCAGTGTAATTTTTAACATTACATGATTTATGGAGCTGTTCGACAGATGAGAGAATTTCGTTCGAAGGCTGAGACTTTGACCTGCGTTCTCTTTTACTGTGAGTAGTGTGTTATGTTAGTGATTTTCTATTCAGTGTATGCATAATGCATAATCCATCGCGGTCCATTCAGAACGGTATTTCTAAGGGGCAGTCATTTAAATAAACCTAAACTCCACTATGTAATTAGAATTTTTTTTGTATATATATAAATAACCTATATTTCTGCAAGTTACCTGCTATATTTACTTTCATAACAGATGTTCTGTCTTAGATCAGGACATGTAAAGACTTTCAAAACATATAGGTCACAAGTGCGTCATGCTTATCTCTGCATTTTGTGAAAATTCAGAGTATGTTATGATCTGGTTTTAGGAACTCTCCCCAGAAACATCAGGCAGGATGTGGCTCCACACCTGGCTTCAATAAAAACTGTCTTTCAACCACTACGGGGAAAACAGGAGGTTGAGTCATGCTTGCCAGGTGAAGGTGAACACAGGAGAGGGGCAGACTCATGTTTTCATAAGCATAATTTTACATAATAATACATCCACTTGTTTTTTGTTGATTTTTTTTTTTTTTTTGCAAGGGACATAAAAAGAGAAAACAGATGTAATAAAAGGTCACCCTATGACAGACATCTATATCTGGAGAAATGTTTATTTATGAGCCGAGACTCAAAACACATGTGGTTTCCCTTTGGATGCAGCAGCTTTAACTGCCATTTAGCACAAGCTTATCTGAATATTTCCACAGATTGTCAACAGAGGGCATTATTATAGCCATTTTTCTGAATGTATTCAGCACCCTGCAGAGGTATTTACAGCCATTGGACTTTTTCACATTTTGCTACGAAACAAGTACAAAATTCTCTCTATTAGACTTTTTGGTGATCGTCACACACTAGTACATAGCAGTTAAGTGGAAAAAACAATATTTTTTTTTTTAATTTTGCCACACTTCAAAATTTTAAAAAATATTGAAGTTTGAATGCCAAATTTTTGAATGCCAAAAGTCTGGCATTCAAAAGTTTGTGAATGCCAAACTTTTGATTTTCACAAAAATGTCAAAAGTTTGGCAGGAGTATGAATTCACCATCTATTCCTCTTCTCCCCCTAAAAAAAAAAAAAAAAATCTGACTTAACCTCTTGCTTTAAAACTCCATGTAATTATTTTTTTATTCAATGTCAGTATAAATACCGGTGTTTTGTAAAGGCTTCAGAGGTCAAATAAAGGACATTTTTCAATCAAGAAGTCCATGAAAAATCTGTATGAGCTGCTGCAGAGATACACAGCTCTGGTGGAATCTGGCAAAAGAACATCTGTTAATTGCACACTCTACAAATCTGGCATTGATTGCACGATTATTGAATTATTGAAAGAAAGCTATAACAAGTCCCCGCCTTCAGTTTGCCACAACCTTAACAAACTGTCACCATGGTGAATTAAGGTGGTGGCAACCTCATACTGGGGGGGGAGGTGGGGGGTGAATCTTTTTTTGAACTGGAAACTGTGCAGCTGCAAATTGGACAAGAAGATGGAAAGAGTCAAACACAGGGCAACATTGAAAGCAAACCTGTTGAAAGCTGCCAAAGACAAAAGAAATGGAGAGAAGGTTCACCTTCCAGCATGCTGCATTGCTTAGATTAAAATTTGTAAAACAATTTCAAGAATATATATGAATTTCCTTCCAACTTCACAATTATGAAAAACTTTGCATTACTCCATCACAAAAATAAATAACAGTTAAAACACTGAGGTTTATAGTTGTTACATGGCAAACATTTAGACAGTGACAAAGTTCAGGGAATATGTCATAAAATATTTTTAAATGTCCATTTTAAGTTAGTTTGTGTGTCTTAGTGTGTTTTCGTGAAGCCCAGAAGTTTCCCACAATGTTCATGTGCAACAACAATGATAGATTGTGATATAATCGTGTTGCAGTGATTTGGCAACAATACATTAGTGTAAATAGGAACAGTGGCAGTTTTCACTTCAAAGCATTCTGGGAAAACACAGGTTCATAAAGATTAAAGTCTTAAAACTGGAGCAACTCATGTCTGTGAATATTTCAATCAGCAACTGTGAGCAACATTGCTCTTTGTTTCCTACAAGATGCTTGCTTCTTCAATTTCAAAACATTCCCCCAACAATGCGTTTTGGTTTTATCCCCCCAAAATATTTACACTTGATTGACATCTCAGGCACACATGACCAGTCACAAGACTGCGGCTGACCCAGACAAATCTGTGTCCATTCATTACGACGGACACAGATTGGGCCAGGTTACGCTTCGAAGCACAAATTGAAAAGCAATGTCTGGCCTCAATCACTAATGTGTTTCAGCAAGTCTTTACTGTCTTTATCAACTTATTTAATTTAACCAATATTGAAAAAAAAAAAAAGTTTATGATCACTCCAAAATTCATTCCTTTACAATGGTAAAAAAGAAATGGAAGTCATGCAGCTGAGCCTCATTATAATGGAGTCAAACTGGGAACACTTTAAAGGAGCAACCTATCCCGCCAAAAAAAAAAAAAAAAAATAGTGCATTAAATTAAAATTAAACATTGTGAAACTGATTCTATGTTAAAGCAAAATCAAGATGTATTTCTACTTATAAGGACTCTAATGCAAAATTTGATAAATCTAGTTGGGTTTTTTTTTTCCTATGTACTTAACTGTTTAGGTTGCAGAAATAACTTTTGAACTTTGGGAAGACGAAGCCTGCCACTCTTCTTATTTACTTCCTGTCACATCTCCTTTACCCACCAAAAAAAGGAAAAGTTCAAAGTCAAACTCAACTATGTGAACTGCAGACCAGTGATGTGTCCTTCCCTGCTTCGTTTACATGAATCTGTTCCGAATCAAGCTCAGCTCTTCCTGACTCCTTCGCTATTTTTCCCATTTATTTTGTCAGACCAGCTTTGGAGGTCTCCTTGGATATCAAACTATTGGAGTAGACTTGTAATCAAAGAGGGTCTCCCCACACAGTGGAGTCTCAGTTAATATTTACATAGCCATGGGCAACCGTGTCAGCTCAGAGTTTTGCCCTCGCTTTTTGCAGCCCTTCGTGAAACCTCCCAGTTCCTGCACTGGTTGAACCAGGCACACGCAACACATTTTAAAAGGTTTTTCTAAGTATATGCGTCTTATCTTTCAAACATTCCAAAGTAAGTTCTCAGTTACGAGTTTGCTAGAGTTGCATTTTAAAATGTTTTTTTTTTTTTTTTTTTTTTTCAATGGTATAATATGCATGCGCCTTAAAATATTCTTTCCTGAACAAGGGAGGTTTCATTAAATAGACTTTGATTATGAGAATTTCCCCTGTCATTTACAAATGATCTTATTCAAACCATGCAGCTGCTTTGGACCTCCAAACTAGCAGGGCACCCTCAAGAACTCTACGATGCCATACAACCCAGTAACAGGTATTTTTGTAACAGTGATACAGCCATCATATGCAAAACAAACGTGGTAATTGGCACTTAAAATAGTAATCAGAGTAGTAAAAAGAAAAAGCAGAATTTCTTTAGAAAAGTGCAATTTTTAAACATGCAATTTTTTAATAGGAATCATGTCAGATACATGTAATAAATTATCAGTTGCACATTATTTACTCTTTGGTGCCTGGTTTTAGTTGAAAG